CCCCCCGCGAGACCACCACGGCCCCTGGTAGACCCCCACACACAACAACAACAACAATAACACCCTGATGTGCAATACTACTTATGTGCAATATAGTATATATATATATACATCGTAAATAACTGTGCAATATATACTTCCACCTTTAATACTTTCAACTTGCTGCTATATTTTCAAAAATGTTACTGGTACTGGATATGTATTTTGGAAAGCATTTTCCATCTTATGCCAAAGTGCTTCTATACTTTAAACTCTCAACAATATGTTAAACCAAAAGGAAAATTATGAATATAACGCTTGAAAGTATTATTTATACAATCAGTTTTATACAATCATATTTATTGGAAATTATGAAAATGGTAGTTCACCCACGGCAGACGCACATCAATACTATCCAGAGACGCAACATTAATCAGACCACGAGTGTAAGTGAAGTCGTATTCTCTTAGTACCGCAGTTGTCTTTTCCTAAGTCCTGATGAATTTTCCTTCACATAGTTTCTTGACCCCATGTTGTTTTTCAGTGGGGTTGAGACTTCTGGTTCTGATCTGTTTGACTTTGATACAGTTGGTATTTACACCTGGATGACCTGTGTTGTTTAGTGTTGACCTCACATGCTGCTGAAGCTTATCCATCCTTTCACTAAATGTGCACAAGTAACAAGGACCATCATTAACTGAGCCTTAGGGTTAGGGTTTTGGGTTGAATGGAGAGGTGACACCTGCCGGCGCAAGCAAATATTCGTGGCTTCATCTGGAAAACAAAGGAAATGTAAAATGATTAATTCCCCTCTAACTTGTACCTTTGGAGCGAGCTAAATACTGAACCTTTGCATAAGCTTGCATTGTGTCCCCTTTCTAGCTTGTTCCAAACGCTTTTTGTCTGACTGTTCCCGGCTGTTCAGAAGAGGAAAGCCAACCCCCCTGTCCCATTTTGTTTTGAAATCTTTGTTGCACTGTACATTGCCAGCCTTTGCAGCCACATAGCACAATGCCAGTTTCAGATAGACTGGCTCAATATGTGTGGTCAGCCTATTCTCCCTTACCACGCTCAACAGGATTCATTTCATCAACAATTTAAAAATAAAAATAGCCATGCAAACTGCATGGCAAAGGCTTCTTTGTAAGGATTTATTCTGGAAAGCTCAATTTTACATCAAGGTGAGTTCAAATTTCATTTAGTTACCCTTCATTTGTATGTATCTTTCTATAATTTTGGGCACCTGAAGTCCAGTTTTTGTGATTTAGACAAGTTCTTCATAGGAAGACACCAACAAATTAGAGATAATGTTTGAATTGAAAACGTTTTAGCTTGGGGGAACAACATAAGTAGTTATGAATAAACATGATTTCCCAACAGGATTTAACAGTCTAGTGTGTTTTATTTAAGTGGATGTATTGGCATAAATGTTATATAATATTCATATCTAGGTTTTCATTACTGTATATCACCTGAAGCTAAGAATCCATGTGTTTTTGTTAGCTTAAAAGGAGTGATTTTTATAGATTGTCCGCCATGTTTAGAAGCCTAGAACAGACAAACCTCACTCTGACTTTAGACAGGGACTTTCACGTTCTAACATTACCTGAAGGCCACAGTCGTTTCTCTCCACACTTTATAGGGGGTCTGAGAAATGGGATATTTATAAGAAGGAAAGCTAAAACATTTATCACATTAGCAATGTCAGACCTTAACTTTCCTTTCAGTTATCATTATTGTTGCTATTAACTGAGTTGAAGACGCACAAGTAAACATAGCAGACAATGATCAGAAATATGTAGTTGTGTGATACGCAGTATAGTTTCTGTCAGTGAACGCCAGCTAGCTTCTCAAAACTGTGATAAGAGCTTGTACGTATTCTGAAACCAGGATATAGAACTATACTCCTCAGTGAATGGGGTTCTCAGTCGTCATGAATGTGGTCGGATGTCAATATTCCTTTAATCCGTCTTCAGTCACCTACTGACACCTGGTTGAAAGCCCTATGTAAAGCTCTGAGAAATATTTTTGTTAAACAAATATTCCTAAGATCAAGGCTGGACTTTTGTGTACGAAGAACTGAAGTGTTGACACAGTTCACCGTGTTACTACATAACAGCCACGACTGAACTTAACTGAAAAGCATTTTCTTTGTGCAAAAAAGTGGCGTAGTAACATTAACATTAAACATTTCAGACAGTGGGATGGTTGCAATGACATTCTTTCTGCTTCAAAATAAGGGACAGAAACATTTTAAAAACCTTGTTGACATTATCTTTTAATTTCCCTCGAAGGTAAGCCATGGGTGACTGGTCCATACTTGGCCGCTTCCTGTCCGAGGTTCAAAACCACTCCACAGTGATAGGCAAGATCTGGCTAACCATGCTGCTCATTTTCCGTATCCTGCTGGTGGCGCTGGTTGGTGACGCTGTCTACAGCGACGAGCAGTCCAAGTTCACCTGTAACACACAGCAGCCCGGCTGCAACAACGTCTGTTACGACACCTTCGCTCCTGTTTCGCATCTACGCTTCTGGGTCTTCCAAATTGTCCTGGTCTCCACCCCTTCCATCTTCTACATAGTCTTTGTTCTGCATAAGATTGCCAAGGATGAGAAGCTGGATGGCCAAAGGGAACAGGTGATCGCAGAGAGCCCCCCCCGACAGAGGCACATGGGTAAGGATGGGATGGAGGCCCTGAGGGTCAACATGCCCTCCTACTGTCCCCACTACAGGGAGGAATGGGATGTGAAGGGCAGGGAAGGAGTAGAAGAAAGCCCTCTGGAGGAGCATTATAGCGAAGTAGGAGAGGACCCCACCCAGCAGTCCAATCAGGTTCTGCTCATCTACATTATTCACGTTTTACTACGATCTGTCATGGAGATCACTTTCTTGGTGGGTCAGTACTTCTTGTTTGGATTCGATGTGCCTCAGCTGTACACGTGTGAGACCTACCCCTGCCCCACTCGTACAGACTGCTTTGTGTCTCGTGCCACAGAGAAAACGATCTTCTTGAACTTCATGTTCAGCATCAGCCTGGGTTGCTTCATGCTCAACATCGCAGAACTCCACTACCTGGGCTGGGTCTACATTTTCCGTGTCCTCTGCTCAGCCTGCTCCACCTGCTGCAGTCAGGAGAGGGACACCGTCAGACTGTACCCAAACCACAACCCCCTCCTGCTGCAGCTCAAGCATTCTCTGAGGGGCCAGCTGGTTCTGCAGACCCCAGCTGCTCTGGCCCCAGAGAAAACTGGAGGTCTGCTCGCACATCCTCAGGCCATCTCCTTCGAGACAGACTCAACTGTGGAATGCACCTCCAAGAGAACTCCAGAGAGCAGAGACAAAGTCAAGGTGAAACTAGCCAACATGGCCAAGCTGGGACGGACTAAGAAGTCATGGCTATGAGAGGCACATTTATTTTGTCACGCCTTTACATTTGAGAAAAGAAAGGACCCTGAAGGCCTGAAACATACCCTACATGAACATGTTTATGTATAGGCACTTTGAGCTATAGAAAGTACATTTCATTCTGTATTGTGGTAAACATGAAGCATGGTGAAGTTTGCTGTAGCAAGAGACAGGATGAAGCTGTTTCCCAACGCTGTCTTCACATGACATCGGTAAAATGGCTCAGAGCTGATGTGACCGTTGTGTTTCTATAGAAAAAGACAACGCAACCCTCAGCATCGTGCATCTCAAAGTGCTGCACTCAAAGTGCTGCACTCAAAGGTACAATTATTTCAACTTTGACCGGGATCGCTGCTGAACTTTCGATGCGCAACCATTAAGATAACAGCTGTATGAAATGGAAGGG